TTGGACATTTTTTGCTGCATGTCCACCAAACGGAGGTGGCTGTAAAAAATACTGTTGTTGCGGTACAAACGGTAAGTTTGGTACCGCCTGGTCGCTATGAAAGCCGGACTGACGGGAGGTGCTGCCTGACTGACTCTCATGATACGACTGAGTATGCCTCATCGATGTATTTCGCAGACTGTCTTGGAAGTTTGAAGTAGAGGCCGACTCTGACAATCGGTCACTCTTCTTCTGCTCTAGCAGTAGCCGAGCGTCTGTGTATGTTTTCCTCGACCCGTCCGCCTGAATATGACGAACATGTTTCCTATTTCCTGGAGTAGGAAAACGGTATTTTGTGAAATCAAAGGCAGGTGGCTCCCACTTCCTAGATTTAGGATGAGGGGTCGCCTCTCGCCCTTGAACTGGCTTCCTCTTCCGTGAAGTGGAGGGTTTCTTAGCCGACTGCTCCTTGTCCAGAGCAGGTGGCTTCTTGTTGATCAACTCTTGAATTTCTCCCTTGAAGTCCCTCATGAAGGTCATGAGTTCGTTCCTTGTGATGGGAGCAGACCCATCAGTCGGCTGCTGCCGAATAGGCGGTGCGCCTGCTGGCTCGCTTCCAGTTTGAAGATGTTCCCGTTCCCTCCTTTCGGTATGACGGGTACGTCGGGCCCTTAGGGTCCCTTCTAAAGCTGTGTGAGCTTCAACTTCAAATTCATTCTCAGTATCGTGGTCCGACTGAACTAGAGGATCGTCCAGGGGACGTCTCTCTTCAGGAGCCGGTACAAACGTGGGTGCCATCTCAGAAGTACTCTCCCCACAGACGGCGCCAAAATGTTTCGGGGTTTTCTGATGTCCTGTGGGAGAGTTACAATTCCGAGACTGGAACCGGATGCCTGTACCTGCAAAACAAACGGATGCTCCGGATGATTGGAGATCCGCCTCCGACGGTCAAGTTAGTACTTGATTAAGGAGTAATTAATGCGGAAATTAAAGTGATTGGGTCTTCTAGATGAGAGTGTTTAATGTGTGTAATTTGCCTAATCTCCCTTAATGAGGATTAAGGGAGGTATTTATAACCTCGGGAAACGTGCCAATCTAGGTTTAGGTTAACCTTGGGCTGATTGGGCTTCCCTCGGAAGTTGGGCCTAGGTGGCTGGCTTCTCCATTAGGCATGGAGTATGCCATGTGTCATGACATAATAAGTCCAGGGTGGACGAATAAGCGTGTGCCACGTGGCAAGCCCTAAGAGGTCCAACTGGGGGACACTTGGCAGGACCTGATTGGCCCACGTGGCGCATTCCGATTGGTGGGAGCAAAATCCCCTAATCAGCTGCGATTAAATCATTCAAATTGACTGCCGAGATTGATGACTATTGATGATGAGTGGTGAGGATGGATTCAAGAGCAACCAAATGGATGATGCGTGGTGAGAAGGAGGGAATGAATGAAGAAGAAAATCGGGGTCTGATGGGGATTTTATTTTATTTTCCTTTTTATTTATTTTATTTCTATTTCCTTTTCTTTTCATTTTTTTTTTCATTTATTTTCTTTATATCTTTTCTATTTATTTAATTTTTAATATAAATACCCTTTTTTGAGGGTTAATAATCTATCAACTTTTTTTAGCCCTAATTAGAGAGTTAGATTAGAATTGAGAGAGACGATTAGCTTAGATCTAGAGAGAGAAAGTGTGGTATTCTTTAATTCCTCCATTGTTAAACTTCAAATTATTTCAATCCAACCTTTTGATTAGTAATTTCTCTCTCTTATCTCTTTCTATTTTGTTTATTGCTTTATATTTTGATTGTCATATTTATTTGTTGTTTAGTGTTGTTGCTTGTTTTGTTCATCCTAGTTTGTGAATGATGATTTGCTTTGTGGTGTTATTGTTTTAATGGCTTCTCTTCCTTCTCTAGGCTAGATTTCTAGCTAGGGGAAGGGGGTGAAGAACATGGATTGATGTTGACTAGATGATGATGGATGATTGATTATTATGCCTTGAATTGATGATTTGTGCTATTAATTGCTTGGGATTATTGAGTGCACGTTTAATTCCCTAATTTGAATTGTTGCCTATTTTTCTTGAACAATTGCATGGAAATGAATTGTTTATGTAGAATTTATTATTCCTTGGCTTTTTAATTTTGATTTCCATCATTATTTTGATACGTTGGCCATGTTTGGAACCCCCGTACCACTTGCGCTTGTTTTTACTACGTGAAACCATGGTTAATCGTGTTAGTTAGTTATTTTTTAGTGTTTAAACCTCAAAAATACCAAAAATATACCCCTTGGCTCTTGTGTTCATGAATTTTATGATTGATTTGCTTCGGTTTTCCGTGGAGATATGACCCTTACTTCCCACTATATTCATATATTTTGGTAGTTAGGATTAATTTGATAGGAGAACTTTTAACGATGATTTCTACGCCGATCAACTCTACTTGGGAGAAAGGAATGAACAAGGTTTATGAGTTTTCCTAAAACTCATTGGTGACTCCTTATTGGTTACTTATAAAAAAAGTAATGACGGACTAAATTCTAATTCAAGGTCTCCCAAAAAGTTAGGAATTCAAATCCTAACACGCCCTAAAAGGTGTAAAGTCCTAGGCTTCTAATGGGCCAAGGGCATAGAGGAATTGGGATCCCCAACGACGGGCTACAGTCCTCACAGTGGCGACTCCACTGGAGACTTAGACGTTACAAAATTAGTTTTTGGTTATGGTTCAAGGTTGCCCACTTAGGTTACATATGAGTTGTAATGAAAGACTAACTTGGATAATCTCTAATTAGAGAGCGAGACTCGAACGCATAATATCTTCCTTTTTAACAAAAGTAAAAACCAAATAAGCAACATTACATCATGCACACTTTAACCAACGGGGATTGGGTCATTGACTAGGGGTTGCCAACACTAGGCTTCTATCCCGAAATCAATAACAATCATCCCACCCATATCACCAACAAAATGTTGGGAGAATCATCCCATGGGTCAACACGTTGAGTGATTGATTCATGCATCATTATTAAGATATGGTACCTTTGGACACCAAAGCCTTGACCATAGAATGACATTATATGCTTTAAAAGCTTTATTCCTTATGTTTATGTGCTTATGTGACTACATGAATATATGTTTATATGCTACATGTCTAATTTAATTAACTCCAACTATCTAAGTTGCGTGCCCCCTCCGAGCGCAAGTTTTGTAGTTGCGCGCGACTTTTCCGCGTAACTCTGATTCTTGTGCGCGCCCATTGCTTAATGTGACTTTGACTTGTTGCGAGCAATGTTATACGGAGAGAACAATACTACCGCTTTAAGGTTAATCGTTAAGTAGATGCTAATAATATCTCTTTGGATGACAATGTTTTCTAACTTAGTTGCTTTTACTTTATTCGTCTTTCCTTTTTTTAAAAAAAAAATAATTCCAAAAACATGTCTTTTATCGTTCTCTTATTTTGTTTTCGAAAAAAAAAAATAGAAAAAATGCATGTGGCAGGCGGTACACTCAAAGTTGCACTCTCCACCTTAGCGTAAGACGGAAAATTGCGCGCGATACTGTTCTCGATTATAATGATTCATTTATGTACTTTTTAATCGAACTAATGGAATTACCTCTGTTGAGGTAAGTATTGCTCTTTACAAACAAGTTAAATACTCTATCTTGTTCTAGAGTATTAGGGGGCTGCCCCTCGAGTTAACGGTTTCAAAGATTGATAACCTTGCTAACGTAAAACAAAACAATAAGGAAGCTTTCCCAAAAGAAGTAAAACAAGTTAGAATGCTCAATGAAATGAGTAGATAAACAATCTTCAATACATTCTACGTGATAAACTACACTATCGCTTGGCTACTAAGCCAAGGGAAACTACGAAAGCTAAAAAGAAAGCTTCAGAGAAATGAAATGCTTGTTGTTGATTGATGTGCTGATGTCTTTCCTTTGATCCTTGTGCTTCTATTCATAGGAAAAAGGGAGCGGTTATGGCCGACTCTCATAACTGTTTTACGGTTATGCTTCTTGGCGCCAACACTTTTTCAAAAATTAAAATCATCCATTAGCCTCCTAAACCGGCCTCTATGTATTGGGCCTTTATGTGATATCGGCCCAATTCCTTTTATGTCTGGACCAGTTTAGCCAAAGACCTTTTATGGACTCTAAAAACCGTTTACATTCGGTCGAAGTCAAGAACGTCAAACAAAAGTTAAAAATCTAATTTTTGGGTGTAACAAATGCCCCCCTAATTTGGGTGGTTGATGGCGTTTGAAACCAACCAAATTATAACTTTTCAGGCATAAATATAAAGCATTATGTATGTCTAACTCTGTAAATATCAAAGAACATAGAATGTAAACATTACTTAATATTTTATAAAGATAAAATAATTACAAAAGAAGAGCATTTCAAAACTTATAAGTTTTGAATTTTTTAAATGTGTATGCTCTTTTAAAGGACTTAAGGCTAAATATATACAACGATATACTTATTGAGATGCCTCTAATATCCTGGGTCATCTTGGATCACCGCTACATTATTTTGTAGCTCGGGATCATCGAGATAATCTTCGAATTAATCATCGCTAGGCTCTACAAGGAGCAAGATAATTCTATGATGTTTGAAAATCTCTTCGTACCATAATTGGCAAGCGCATTTGTACATCAGAGTGTGCATTTTCCCTTCTTTAACCCTAGTTACCTTGACTTCATAGTACATCTTGGAGTAAGGAATTGTCCTTGCCTCCAATTTTCCATCGAATGTGGGAGGAAAGATCGTTCTGATATCTCTGGCCCATCCTTTGCAAACCAAGGTGGCATTTGCCCTATCAACTTTCTCCTCCAAGTGAGGAAGTATGTAATTCTTTAAAAGATCAGCGTTTGCACTAACTTGAAAAGCGTTAGGCCCAGCAGGTCCTTTGTCATCTTCAAGGATGGTAGGTCTGTCCCCCCATCGCTTCATGATCCTCCTGTTGAGGCAATTTCTCTCCGAATCCTGTAGTTCCTCCTCCATTTAGAGCGTTTATCTAATGGTGATTTGGGCACTCAATTGGATACTCAATGGATCCATGGAGTATATTGTCGACATAGAACATACCAACTCCATTAACTTCCCCATTAGGCCCAACGTGTAACATCTGAATGGGATTTATAAGATTCTCCATAATAATTTCAAAGTTCAATTTTAGAAAGTGGTTGAAGAACTCGGACAAATTGGATTTCTTAGAGAGAGAAATTATGAGAGAAGCAAGAGAGAGAAATAAAATTGGCTTAATGAAGAAGGAAAATTTTGAGTGAAGTGACTATTCGTATATATAATCACTCTCGCGTCACTCTTTGACGGTTAAAATTCTCCATTACTTCAATACTTCGTGGTAAAACCACGTAACTCTCCACATTCTTGAAAGTCGTTTATCCAAAAAATCATATTAAGGGGAATGAATTTGAAATAAACCGTCACAGAAATTACATGGTAAATTTTACTTTCAAGTTAATAAATTACTGATCATTTAATTTTATTGGGAATTTAGAATTGTCTTTTCAATTAAATGTCAATAAATATAGCAGTCTGTCACTTGGTAAATCGTGAAAATAATTATATTTATTTGTAATCCCCCATATTTTTCTTAGTAAATAATAATTATATATTTTTATGTATACGAATATTTTTAATAATTTTATATTTATATAAATATTTTGGAAAGATTTGACAAAATAGAAACGACAACTTATATTTCAATAGCATTGTTACTCACTTTGGGCCATGACTACCATTCTAATTCTACAAAAAAAAAAAGAGCCCATACCCTCATTTTAATTAAGTAAACTTTTCTCAAAACCCTCGTATAACTATTCCTATTGCCTTCCCCTTATTACTCCTCCTCTACTGCTTCCCCTTCTCCATTCACGACTCACACACACAAAAAAAAAAAAAAAAAAAATTTCGCTGCACTGCTGCTGCCGCTACACTGCTGCCCTCGCCACCTGCTGCCACCACCAGTCGGTTTCCTTCATTTCCCCTTCTCTTTTATCTTTCTCTCTTTCTTGTTTTAATTTTTGTAAAGCTTTAATCTTTATATGAATTTTTCAATGATTAATAATTATTATGGTTTGATTATGTTTATGAGTAATAAAAGATTGCAAATTTATGAATTATACTTTATTTGATTTATGGAATAAAATTTCAGATTTGGTTTATGTGAGAATTGAAGGTTTAAATGTTGATTTTTCATGATTTTTAGGGTTTAACAACGTGTTGCTAAAGTTATTCAATTTAAGCATGATTTTGTTGTGATTTTGCTATGAATATGATGATGTTTAATTCAACAGCAAGTTCTAAATTTTTCGTAATTAATTTCTGAATTTCGTTCGTAATTTCCCTTAATCACGTTTTCATCACGTCTTGACTCTGGCTCGTCTGATTTTTGCAAAAAAATAGTGTTTTTCGTGGGTAAACAACGCTGTAATAAAAAATCACTACCTTTGGTAGTGTGCACTACGTTCTCGTGGCCAAATTCAGCCTCTAAAAATGATTTTTGGGCAGTTTTAGATTTTTAACGAAGGATTGATGTTATAAATAATTTTCAGATTATAATCCTACTTTAAAGTTGCTGAAATTTTATGCTATAAACTATGTTTTCATGATTTTAACATACAACCTTGTAATTGAACTTTGAATTATTAACTTTGACTATTGTGAGCAATTTAAAGGCATTAATTCAATAGTTTAAGGGGTTTTAAAGTAGTTTTGTATTGCTGTAAATTGCTTGTTTCTCAATCATATATGCCTAACAAACTGAGCTCATACTCGATAATTCATACTTAGCCAAAGTTTACATACTTTATTAGCATGCAAACACAACAATACTTGGCAATAATAAGCAAGATCATGCAAACTTAAAAAAATAAATGGCATAAATGAGGTAAAAACGCGAAATCACACTGCATTCTACCCCTCTTAAAAGGAAAGAGTTACGCCCTCGTAACTCACCTCATCAAATAACTCGGAATATTTCCTTCTCATCTCTTCTTCGGCCTCCCAAGTAGCCTCTTCGTACTCATGATTAGACCAAAGAAACTTCACTATCTTCACATCTTTGTTCCTAGTACTTCGCACTTTGTGATCTAGGATTTTCACTGGTCTTTCTTCATATGTCAAAGATTCATCTAGTTGGATCGTTTCTGGTTGCAACACATGGGTTTCACTAGGCACATACTTTTTCAATTGGGAAATGTGGAACACATCATGCATTTTCTCGAACTCCATTGGCAAAGCCAACTTATAAGCCACTTTTCCCACACGTTGTAGAATCTCATATGGCCCCACATACTTAGCACTTAGTTTCCCTTTCTTGCCAAATCGCATCACGCCTTTTGTTGGTGAGACCTTTAGAAAAACCTTGTCCCCAACATTAAACTCATCATCTCTTCTCTTCAAGTCGGCATAACTCTTTTGCCTATCTTGTGCCGCTTTAATTCTTGATTGAATCAATCTCACCTTACTCATCATATCCTCAATGAAATCTATTCCCAAAGTAACACGCTCACTGCAATCATTCCATAGCACACTGGGCTTCTGCACTTTCTTCCATACAATGCTTCAAAAGGTGCCATCTTGATACTCGTGTGGTAACTGTTGTTGTAGGAGAATTCAATCAAAGGTAAGTTATCCTCCCAACTCCCTTGAAAATCCAAGGCACAAGCTCGCAACATATCCTCCATGGTTTGGTTGGTTCTCTCAATCTGGCCATCCGTCGCAGGATGAAAGGCAGTGCTCATCTTCAAGGTAGTCCCAAGGTTTTCTTGCACCTTCTGCCAAAACTTAGACAGGAATCTCGAATCCCTGTCCGACACAATGTCCTTGGGAATTCCGTGTAAACGAACCACATTCTTCACATAAGTACTTGCCAATTGCTTCTTTTTCCAGGTCTCCTTGATTGGAATGAACATTGCTGACTTAGTAAGTCTATCTACAATCACCCAAATCGTGTCATTCCCACTGCGAGCATTTGGTAATCCTATCACAAAGTCCATGGAAATAGAATCCCATTTCCATCCTGGTACCTCCAATGGTTGTACTTTCCCCATGGATCTCTTGTGATCTATCTTCACCTTCTGGCATGTCAAACACTAAGACACGAACTCGGTAACTTCTCTCTTCATATTCGGCCACCAGTAGAACTCTTTCAAATCCTTATACAGCTTATCTCCCCCAGGGTGAACTGAGTAAGGTGTGTTATGGCTTTCCTCCATGATTCTTCTTTTTATATCCTCACACTCTGTGGTATGCACCATCTCTCCTTGTATCTCAGACTCCCATCCTCATGACTCTTGAATTCGGTCTCTACACCGCTAGTCACTCTATCCCTAATCCGCTGAAATGACTCATCCTCTCCTTGTTTTTCCTTAATCTCCTCAAATATGGATGGTTGAATCGTCAAGGCACTTAGTAATCCTTCTAACTCCCCTTGACTAACGACTTCAAGGTTCAGTCTCCTCATCTCCTCACACAATTCATCAGCCACAATCAAAGCATTAACATTATGACTCGACTTCCTACTAAGAGCATCTGCAACAACATTCGCCTTTCCCTCATGATACTTGATGTGTACATTGTAGTCTGTGAGGAACTCTAACCATCTACGTTGCCGCATATTCAAGTGATCTTGGGTGAAAATGTATTTCAAGCTTTTATGGTCTGTAAAGATCCTACAGGTGACACCGTAAAGATAATGTCTCCAAATCTTCAAGGCGAACACAACAACTGCAAGCTCCAGGTCGTGTGTAGGATAGTTAACCTCATGTGTCTTCAACTTTCTCGGTGCATAAGCGATCACTCTCCCATTCTGCTGCAGAACACATCCCAGACCATGCTTTGAAGCATCGCTGTATACCTCGAATCCGTCTTTCCCATCGGGCAACACTAGTACTGGTGCTGTGGTTAGTCGCTCTTTCAGGGTTTGAAAAGCTAATTCACAGCTGTTGTTCCACTCAAACTTAGTTTGCTTCTTCATAAGAGCGGTCATGGGTCTGGCTATTCTCGAAAAGTCTTTAACAAACCTTCTATAATACCCAGCTAATCCCAAGAAACTACGAACATCGGTCACATTCTTAGGAGTAGGCCACTCACTTACTGCCTTGATCTTTGCAGGATCTATTAATACACCCTCCTCAGAAATGTAGTGCCCTAGAAATGTAACCTTTTCTAACCAGAACTCACACTTTGAAAACTTGGCATACAGCTTGTTAGTTCTAAGAGTTTCCAAAATGGTTCTGAAATGTTGAGCATGTTCCTCCTCATTCCTCGAATACACCAATATGTCGTCAACTAACACAACCACAAGCTTATCTAAGTATTCATGAAACACTCGGTTCATCAAGTCCATGAATATGGCAGGTGCATTGGTTAGCCCAAATGGCATGACTGTAAACTCGTAGTGCCCATATCGAGTTCTAAAGGCTTTCTTTGGAATGTCCTTACCTACAACTTTCAACTGATGGTACCCTAACCTTAAATCGATCTTTGAAAACACACTCGCCCCCTTCAGCTGATCAAACAAGTCCTATCCTCGGTAAAGGGTACTTGTTCTTCACAGTCACGTTATTTAACTCTCTGTAATCAATACATAGCCTCAAACTCCCATCCTTCTTTCTCACAAACAAGACTGGTGCTCCCTAAGGTGATGCACTAGGCCTAATAAACCCCTTATCCAAAAACTCTTGCAATTGAACTTTCAGCTCACTCATCTCAACTGGTGCCATTCTATAGGGCGCTTTATAAATAGGTGCAGCTCCTGGAATTAAGTCAATGGTAAACTCAACTTCCCGTTTAGGTGGCATCCCCGAAATCTCATCCGGAAAAGACATCTAAAAATTCATTCACAATGGGTACATCCTCAATCCGCCTATTCTCACCCTTACTCAAATCCTTGGACACAACAAAAGTAAAATGGATACCCCTTACTCACCAACTTCTGAACCTTTAAAGCAGAAATGATCCCAATGCCCTTTGGCTTCCCAAAACGTCTATAGGACACTGTCTTACCCAAAGGATCACTCAGGTGCACTCTCTGTATCTCACAGTCTATCTTAGCCTTGTATAAGCTTAGCCAGTCCATCCCCAAAATGACATCCAAGTCCCCCAAGTTAAACTTAATAAGATTCGATGGAAAAACAACCTCTCCTATTTTCAAAGGCAAGCCTTTGAATAACCTATTGCAATGAACAAGTTTGCCAGTGGGCAGACTGACTGACACATCGACATGACTCGACTCATATAAGTTTAATTTGCATACAACAGAAGTAGAGATGAAAGAGTAATAGTTTTGAGAAATTATGGATTTTGGGTTAAGTTTCGGGGACAAAACTTCTTTTAAGAGGGGTAGATTGTAATCCCCCATATTTTTCTTAGTAAATAATAATTATATATTTTTATGTATACGAATATTTTTAATAATTTTATATTTATATAAGTGTTTGGAAAGATTTGACAAAATAGAAACGATAACTTATATTTCAATAGCATAGTTACTCACTTTGGGCCATGACTACTATTCTAATTCTACAAAAAAAAAAAAGAGCCCATACCCTCATTTTAATTAAGTAAACTTTTCTCAAAAGCCTTGTATAACTATTCCTATTGCCTTTCCCCTTATTACTCCTCCTCTACTGCTTCCCCTTCTCCATTCACAACTCACACACACAAAAAAAAAAAAAAAAAATTTCGCTGCACTGCTGCCACCTCCAGCTGGTTTCCGTCATTTCCCCTTCTCTTTTATCTTTCTCTCTTTTCTTGTTTTAATTTCTTTAAAGCTTTAATCTTTATATGAATTTTTCAATGATTAATAATTATTATGGTATGTTTATGAGTAATAAAAGATTGCAAATTTATGAATTATACTTTATTTGATTTATGGAATAAAATTTCAGATTTGGTTTACGTGAGAATTGAAGGTTTAAATGTTGATATTTCATGATTTTTAGGGTTTAACAACGTGTTGCTAAAGTTATTCAATTTAAGCATGATTTTGTTGTGATTTTGCTATGAATATGATGGTGTTTAATTCAACAGCAAGTTCTAAATTTTTCGTAATTAATTTCTGAATTTCGTTCGTAATTTCCCTTAATCACGTTTTAATCACGTCTTGACTCTGACTCATCTGATTTTTACAAAAAAATAGTATTTTTCGTGTGTAAATGACGCTCTAATCAAAACTCACTAGCTTTGGTAGTGAGCACCACCTTCTCGTGGCCAAATTCAGCCTCTAAATATGATTTTTGGGCAGTTTTAGATTTTTAACGAAGGATTGGTGTTATAAATAAATTTTCAGATTATAATCCTACTTTAAAGTTGCTGAAATTTTTTGCTATAAGCTATATTTTCATGATTTTAACATACAAACTTGTAATTGAACTTTGAATTATTAACTTTGACTATTGTGAGCAATTTAAAGGCATTAATTCAATAGTTTAAGGGGTTTTAATGTAGTTTGGTATTGCTATAAATTATGTTGCTTGGGTATTAATTGAGCTATTGTTGTTTTGGTTAGGAGAGGACTTCGTAGAAGGTGACTTCTAGTCTTAAGGTGACCAACCAATTCGTGTACTCAAGGTACGTATAAGAATACTAGGAACCTTGATTTTAGGAGCATGTTTAGGGACTTGGAAAAACCTAGAATCATGCTAGGGAACTTGTGGATTGGTTGAAATTGTTTGGTAATGAGTTGATTGATGATAAATGTGATGATTGGTTTAATTTATGTACGAGAAATTTGCATTGATTTTCCTTATGAGCATTATTAATGCAATAATTTGCAAAGTGAGCTTAGAGGCAAGATACAAGGATATATGGAATGAATTATTTTGGTTACTTGTTCATTTATATTGAAATGGAATGAGTAAAGGAAGAATTAAAGTCTTATAAGATGAGGTTGAGAATTTGAGGTGCCTTATGCACTTAGAATGTTTATACACCGAGGTAGTTAAAGGATGTAATAATAAATATTGTTTGTCACTAATAAATTAAGAATTGAATTGGAAACTTGAATGGTTTGAATGATTGATGTATGATTGGTTGTGTTGTTTTGCATTTGAGTCATCACCAAGTTTAAACTGGTAAATCACGTAAAGTGCAAGAAGGATGAGCAATAAAACACTGGATTTGTGCACATCTAGAGTAATGACAAACAAGGGTTGGGGTTCACGGGGTATTAGCCGTGTACTTTTTCAGAGGCCGTCTGATCTATGAGTCTCTTGTTTTTAAATACTTTTAAAATTATAATGAGTTAGATGAGATCTCATACTAACTATGGCCACGGAGTCGCGCCCGTCTGCCATTGGATGTTTATTAATGTCTTCTGAAAGGAGGCATAGGGTTTTCTTTTATTAATGTTCCGAAATGGGGCATAGGGGGACAACCTGGTCAATTTCTTAATCCAACCAAATTAATGAAATGATCAATGCTATTTAGTGATAACTTAGTAATGATTAACAATTGAGTCATGTGTT